AGATATTGGCGCTTGGCCTCTTTAAGCGCCATTTTGAAAATTTTTTAAATCGGACAAATGCCTTCTCCTTTAAGTTAGCAATATTTTAGAGGGCGTGGTTTATATTCGATTTCAACAACATTAATTTTGGTAATAGTTCTGCTTCGATATTTTTATAGCAAACTTCTTATAAAATTCAATCGAACTCAATAAAGATATTAGACCGCATATTTGCTTTGAGTTTTTTCAAAATATAGTACAAATTTTATACCAATTTAGGAACGCCCATAAACGATAGCCTGGTATTTCGTTTACGACAAAATCGAATACAAATTAATCATTTGCAGAAATAGTTCCGAATCCATGGCTTTTCAGAACTAGTCCTAGTTTTCCTACAGGCTATGTTTATTAGCATGCTGCAAAATGTAAAGTACCATCTGTGATTTCGATTTTGCGGTCAATTTCAGCATAAATTTATTTATATTAGCTTTTAATGTCCCAACAACATAAATGAATATTTCAGTTGATTGTGCAACGGATTACATACACTTAGTACCTACATATACATACATACATTACTATGCATATATGTATATGATATTGAAGCAAAATGCGGTCTATCATTAAGCCAGGACTAATATTTTCGAGGCATTCGTAATAAGTTGATTAAAAATTGGTTTAAAAAATATCTAAAATATTTAAAACGTTTTAAATATTTTCTGATGATAATGGTTTTAATTTTGTTCGCACACTAAATCGAAATCAGTCACAGGAGAGGCACAAAACTATTCATGTTGCGCAAGTGATGCAAGCAAAGAAAAACAATTTTATGAATGTTTTTCCAGTTTTAGCTTAGGATCCAGCTCTTAAGAATACGGTCAAGAAAAACTAAACGGGCATACATATATTTCTGTTGCAAAGATGGGTTGCTTTTTGCTCTTTGTTCACAAGAAAATTTCTTCAACATTTCTTCAACGTTTTTTTATTTGGACTTTTTGCTTCTTTTGAGAGTTGGATACTTAGCTCAAAGAATCTTCCGATACTCACAGATAGAATGGAAGCATAATGAGTCTGCAAGTGTTGTAACCACATTAAACAAAAATCGTAATTGTAATTGTTATTGATGTAAACTGTAAAATTATCGAATTATGTAGTATTATAACAGGATAATATTTTTTTGTGCATAGGGACGAATGGGCATGGAAAATTTCCTTTACAAATTTTGTCCTTAAATATCGTTGAAAATTTGCAATATTTTTAATTATTGTTTGAGGACTGATATAGGCACGACCTTATCATCGAATTCCGTACTGCAAACTTTATTAACCTAAAAAATAAAATGTATTAAAAGCGCATTTTCAATACCTATTCGTCCTTGTAAACCAACAGAACTTTATTGTTTTTAAATTCTACAGAATTTTCTCTCTCATTTGGTACCCATTTGTTACTCTACATTGCACTGCATTTCTTTAAAATTTCAAAGTCCTTTGAAAACAAATCCTGACATCAGAGCGAAAAACTAAAAACGCAGTTTTACTATATTTGGCCCATAGCTACGTGAGTATATCGATTCTTTCGTGTGTTTTGAATTTTTTTTGTTTTTGTCGCACGGTGTAATAAGGGGGCACCGAAATTGCGCATATGGAAACTGTGCATTTAGACATTATTTCGGTGTTTGCCATATGCATTATTTCGGGTTTCAACCGAAACTGTGCATGTATGCATTACTTCGGGTTTTTCATATGCATTATTTCGGTTTTCAACCGAAACTGTGCATGTATGCTTTATTTCGGTTTTTGTTGTATGCATTATTTCGGTTTTCTAACGAAAGTGTGCATATGGATAATTTCGTTTTTTCTAATATGAATTATTTAATTCTACATAGTAAGGGTTTTAACCCCTAAGCGCCTCTGAAAGCCGCCTACGCAGAGAGAAGTTCTGCGCAAAAATACTTCCGCCCTTCTTTTCCGGCAACACAGAAAAGAGAATTCTTTTTAGTAAGGGTTATAATCCCTAAGCGCGGCCGAAGACCGCCTACTCAGAAAGAAGTTTGTTTTCATGTAAGCACTATTTCGGTTTTTGTCATATATTGCATTACTTCGGTTTTGAGTCGAAACTGTGCATGTATGCATTACTTCGGTTTTTTTCATATGCATTATTTCGTATGCACAGTTTCCATATGCACAATTTCAGGGTGCCTGTAATAAGACTTTGCGCTCAGGCCATATAGCAAATTCATTTGGGGCATACGTGGCGTATGAGTCACTCAATCAGGCTTATTGAAAGCAAATTTGCTATTTCAGCAATGGTTAAATGTGTTTACATAGCTTGCGGTTGCATAAATTTTTCCTGGGATATGCACATATTCTCTCAACTTGCTATCAAATGAATTTAGATATACAATATGTACATATGCAGACATACATATCGCTAGCTTAGAGTGAAAAGTTGCTAAGTCCACTTTTTATGAAAACTCAAATTTGATATAGGAGCCTAAAGAAATTGAATACGCATCGTTTCGAAAATTATAAAGGTACTTGTTTTATTTTTTCCTCTTCATAAGCAATAAAAGGAAAATTTGCTAAGTCCAAAAGAGGCACCACAAATGCGATAAGGCCAAAATAATACGACATCTTTTAATAAATATCGAATCCTTCTGATTCTTATGGAGTTTTGCTTTGCTTTAAATGCGCAAAATGTTTGATTCAAAGTCTTGCGAAATAGTTAAAGAAAATGGCTATAGGAAGATTTTTTCCTCTCCTGTAAAATTTTTAAAATGGGACCTAGCAACTTTTCTTTCTAAGCTAGCGATATGTAAAAATTACTTAAATACATACATATGTGAAAGAATCAACACAGCAATTTTACCTCAAGATAAAAGTGATTTTTCCTACTATTTCCATGGCCGCTTTTTGCATATTG